AGTTTTAAAGTAGTCATATCCTTTTATTTAACATTTATAATTTTTAGGATTTTACTCTAAAAAATTCAGGGTCATCTTATCAAAGAATAAGAAAATTCATCATAGCATTATTATTCTACTAATTAGGAAAAAAATCACATAATGTCAAAATATGGACTGCTTATACATATATTAAAATGCAAGTTTAGGGAAGAATATTAAATAGTATGTTAAACTCTGATATATTGCTGGTGGTAGATGATAATCATATGCAGTAAATTTTCATATGCTCTGTGATGCCAAGTATAAGAAAATATGGGAAAAAAGACCAAGTAATTAGATCTAATCTTAATGAACAGTTATCTCTAGTGAGTGATATATACATATTTTTTTCATAATTTTCTGTATATTAAATGTTATAAATCAGCATACATACACATTATTTATTTTCTGGAAATATACTTATATATATACATACATACATATGTGTACGTGTATATATATTTTTTTTCAAAAATAATATTTTAAAAATGCCATGTGCCTATCTAGGTATCTAAGATGTCAAGAATTGTATTATAGACAGAAGCTGGTTGGTTTTATTGAATTATTTTAGTCAATCAAAAAATAGTTTTAAATTTTACTTAACTGAAAATTAATAAGGGGAAAAAAAACATTGCCATTGAGTCGATTCTGACTCATAGTAACCTTGTATATTTGTTCTAGCTAGGGTTTCAAATCCATTCAGTCTGGTTTAACCCCCTGCTGAGAATTTGCCTTTTCAAGAAAAATATACTGAAGCAGAATCCACATTTTAACAACATCTCCAGGTGATTATGTATATATAACAATCACCTGAGGATCTAATTAAAATGTAGATTCTGATTCAGTATATCTGGGGGGGGGCACAAAAAACAAAAACAAAAAAACATTGACTTCAAGTCGATTCTGACTCATAGAGACCCTATAGGACAGAGTAGAACTGCCCTGTAGGGTTTTCAAGGAGTGGCTGGTGGATTTGAACTCCCGACCTTTTGGTTAGCAGCGGAGCTCTTGACCACTTCACCACCAGGGCTCCAAATTAATAAGAAAAGAATGGCTTATTCAATCAATATCATGACAAATGATTAGCTATTTGGGCAAATATCTACTCAGATACTTGCCTAAGGTCATACAACAGATTAATGTCATGATTTTATAAAGTTACATCCTAATAGAGTTTACAGTTTATTTTTCTTATAAAATTTAGGGTTAGGGTAAACTCTATTAGGATGTAGCTAAAAAAGATTTGTTATTGTGTTAATTTCCACATTTAGAAAATAACATATAAATAGGTTTGTCTGCCTAAAAACTTAAAACTTCTGTGTATATAGCATACTCTTTTAGGAGATGGTAGTATCACGGTTTCTAAATGGTTCATTCGGTTCGACTCCCTGCTAAGAATTTGCACTTCCACCCCAGATATAGGAAATCCTGATGGCATAGTGGTTAAGAGCTTATGTATACATAAGAATCACCTGGGGATCTTCTCAAAATGTAGATTCTTGTTCAGTATATTTTGCTTGGAAAGCAAATTCTCAGCAGGGGGTTGAACCAGAATGAACTGATTTGAAGCCCTAGATAGAACAAATGATTAAATCAGGATACCTCTCACTAAGAAGTTCACAGGGAAGGGAGAGGATGAATGTAAATAAGAGATGCAGTATATTAGTACGTTAGAAGTTGTCATGACATTTACATTGTTTGCTTTTTTTTTTTCTTTTTTGCTTTGTTTTATTTATACAAATAGGATTGTACACATAAAAAAAAGAAGAAAAAAAGACTAGTGACTCCATGGTGAGGCAATGTAGTTCAGATATTGCCTCATGCTACTTTTGTCTTTATAGGATAACCATTTACCTATTAGATCTTTCCAATCACAGCTGGGCCCTAGAGGGTCAATGACCTTGGGGCAATCATGTCTGGGGAATACTAAAAATTAATTCTCAAAAGAATAGATAATCTACACATAAAGTCATATGTCACCCATACACATACTCTCACTATCTGAGAGTCATTTGAAAGGATACACCTTTGGAAATATTCAGGGAAAGATTTCTAAAACCAGGTAGGTTGACAAGCTCCATCGGTCATCTCAGTAGCCCCTCAAACCATCCACAACTTTAACCTTGTCCGCCTCTGTTCCAACTCAATGAGGTTGATATCTATAAACGCGAACTAAACAACCTTTCTAATGCTCAAAAAATAAAGTACCTCCCCAAGATTTGCAGTTCCTTCAAAACAAGAAAATTTTTTTTTGCCTGTTAATAAAACTCAGATGTCAATTCCTATGGAAAAAGAGCATTTGTGTGTGTTAGTTGTCTTTCTTTTAGGAGAAAGTTTTGGTAACTTAAGAGAAAATGGGTACCAAACAGATGTATTTAGGTGATAGTAGCATTCAAAAATGGGAACTAGTCTTTCAAAAAGTTGAAATAGAGGAGGTGTGAGAGTTTTGTTTTGTTCCTTATCATGGATGTACAAGGGAAGAAAATGAGTCTGACTCCAGTGTACATGCAAGAGAAAAGTAACTCAATACCAAAGCTTCTGCTAATTATCCCTGAGCTTCCAAAGTGATGTTTATCATGGAAGCTAATGTAGGATCAAAGGTAGACAGATGCTGGCCAAATCAACATGCTCTTATTTGCTTTTTTATTTTTACACCCAGAATGGTGAGCACTATTACCAATAGCTATGTTAAGACATTCAAGAAAAGAAGTCGGTTCAACAGCTCCTTTCCAACACGCCTCTCACACACTGGGTGTTGGCTCCATCAAGAAGAAGAAAATAAATATGAGAGGGAGGAAGAAATACTTTCTTGTTAGATTTTATGTACATCTGTATTTTTATGCACATATGTATGTGTGTGTATGTTTGTGTTTTTTGTTTGTTTGTTTGAGAATCCATTAGTTACCAGTTACAGTGTTAAGCTTGGCTTAATAGACGATGAAAAGAACGTTAAAAAGATAGATTCTCTGACCACAAACACCAAACTTAAAAAAAAAAAAAATTTCCTCTTAGCGCTCACTGTATGTTGGGAGGAAGCAGGGATTAGTCTTTCTATTTTATAATTTTGTAATTTGGTATGATGAGAATATCTTATCTTTTTACTCCCCAAAGGAAAGTTAGCTTCCTAAGCTTCAGAGGTGGAGAAAAAAAAACCAAACCTGTTGCCATCAAGTAGATTCCAACACCCTATAGGACAGACTAGAACTGCCCCATAGAGTTTCCAAGGAGAGCCTGGTGGTTTCGAACTGCCCACCTTTTGGTTAGCAGCTGTAGCTGTTAACCACTATGAGGTCGGGGGAGGACTATAACTCCCAATAACCTCGCCACGCAGGTTGTGAAAACCATATGGTACATAAGAATGAGATAAATTAATTCTAACGGGTGAGATAGGCATGGGAGGGCACTGAGAGACAAGATCTCAGGATACTCCGTGAACAAGGAGGCAACTAGATGAAGACATACCTTTTAACTTTCTATCAGCTATTTAGGCAAGGAAAACAGTCAAAATTGTATACATTTTGTTTGCTCACTAAGTCAATCACTCTTCTACCATCACTTAGAATGGTTATAGTGTTGCATTAAACTCTAAGTGAGATGAATTATAGAATATAAATTCATTCATCCCTGTGAATATCCCAGAGCAAACGTTAGTTATACTTTGTGTCTAAGCCAACACAGGCACACCATGACATATTGACAGACTAGTGAGGCAGAGGTGATATTTGCACTAGAGTCTGATGAGCTTCACAGAGGGAATAAAGATTGATAGTTTGTCTCTCTCCTACTGTTCTTAATCTCCTCCAAACTGTCATTGTCTTATCTCACACACGCCAAAAGGTCGGCCCAGAGTCCAAAGAAATGACTTTTAGAAGACACAGAAACACTGCTCTTATGTCCTGGCTCTCTTTTCCCTGCATTCTCCCTCACGAGACCCAGATTGCAGATAGAACAACTTGGACTCGTAAGTAAAGACCAAAAGGCTATACTTATATATTCACAGTGGTAGGCATAAAGGTTATTGCTTTGACAGTAACTTTCCAACGTGGTAAGACAGGAGTGTTACTTTCTAAAAATTAAGTATTCTTTCTTCTGTCAAAAAGATTTTAAAGCAGGAATTTAGGCTATTGTTTTCACTGAAAATTAACCAGAGATTGTTGAAAACATTTCTAATTATAAATTTGATAGTAATTCAAACGGAACACTATAGTTTACTTTAATCTAGAAAAGCATACTTTTAATAAATAAACATATTTTATAGATAGATAATATTTAGCCCTGCTGACAATTTTATACTTTTAATTTTAGAAAGCAATATTTGCAAATAAATTGGTCACATATAAATTCAAAATGCACTCGAATACACAAGTAGAAATATTTAACTACTCCTTTTGTTTTCCCCATTGAGTATCTTGCTTAAGTTTTCATTTAGCATAATGCAATAGAAAAAATAGAAAATAATTACTCGAAAGCTGTAACAAATTAGTATATTAAGGTTCTGCTCTACCGAGGGGAAAATAAGGGGCAGAGAAAAGGAATTTTTCCTGTTTCAATATAATTTAAAGCTCTCTGAATTTTTAAAAGTAAATATCTTTGTTGTTGTTATTGAGTGCTGTTGAGTCTGTTCTGACTCACAGCGACACTATGGACAACTGAATGAAACACTGCCGGGTACTTTACAAACATAAAGCTTTTTTTTTTTTTTAAACTTTTACTATGTAGCGTTCGATTTCTTTCTTTTCTTTTCTTTTTTTTTCCTATTGGAGCTTTAATTTTGGCCACTTACATATATAAACAGGGTGGACAGTTTGAAGTGGGCTGTGTTTATATGTTGTTATCCTATATCACTGAACAATATCCTCTCAAAAGCCAAACACACGATTTGCAATCAGATCACAATTTCAGGTTCCAATAAATTCATCTCTCGCCCCCATCTTCTTCTCCCCCGCTGCCCCCTCACAGCAGATGAGAGATTGGAATAAATGGCTGACGGGAATAGCACCAGGGTGACCGAATCCATTCTTTTGGGTTTTTCAGTCCATAGGGAGATTGAAATCGTTCTCCTTCTGCTCATCTTAGTGGTATACACTCTGACTTTGGTAGGGAACTTTGGAATGATTTCATTAATCTGGTTGCATTCCCGACTTCACACACCTATGTACTTTTTTCTCAGTAATCTGGCCTTTGTGGACCTTTGCTACTCCTCATCAATAGCCCCCAAGTTCCTGGAGACCCTCCTGACCAAACACAGGTCTATATCTTTCTATGCATGTGCAGCACAACCGGGATTTTTCCTGAACTTCTTGATATCAGAGATGTTCCTCCTTGCTGTAATGGCTTATGACTGCTTTGTGGCCGTCTGTAATCCTCTTGTCTACGTGTAGGTCTTGTCCCAACAAGTGTGTATGCGGCTGGTATTGGGTCCCTACTTATACAGTTTTTCTCTTGCTTTGCTCCACACAGTAGTTATTTTCCAATTGATTTATTGTGGCCCCAATATCATCAATCACTTCTATTGTGATGATGTCCCTTTAATGGCCCTTGCCTGCTTAGACACCAGCCTCAAAGAGATTCTGATTTTCATCTTCTCTGGATTCAATGTGATCAGCTCTTTGACTACTGTCCTTGTTTCTCACTTGTACATTGTGGCTGCCATCTTGAGAATCCAATCCACAGAAGGAAGGTGCAAAGCTTTCTCGACTTGCGCCTCTCATCTCACTGCAGTGACTGTATTCTACGGGACTCTGATCTTCACGTATCTGCAGCCAAAATCAAATCATTCCCTTGACACAGACAAAATGGCTTCTGTTTTGTACACAATAGTCACTCACATGCTGAACCCCATGATCTACATCTTGAGGAACCAAGAGGTAAAGAAAGCCTTGAGGAAAGCCATTGCAAAATGTTGTGTCCTGTCTCTAATAAATTTAAAAAAATAATTCCTGACTTGGAACATTACCACATGCAAATGCAGGTTTTTAAACCCTTTGCTGAAGTAAATTCATTTTTTTATCACATTTTATGAGTGAAATTCCTTTGTACTAATTTCTATTTTCCATCCAATCTGTAATAAAATGTAATGTTCAAAAGAGTAGAATTAAGGCTTTTAACAAATTAATACAAGTTCTGTATGTGACCTGGATATATATGACCTGTATTCTTATGTTATTGATATAAGATCTAGAGGCCCTTTCATAAGTTTTTTTTCTATTTCTTATTTGGTGGAGGATCTGAGGGAGCAATGAAGTTGATGAAGTGAATTTCTTGTTCACATCTATGACATTTCACACAATAGTCTCTTCCTTAGCTGCACCTGACTGCTAACCATCATTCTTTGCTTTGCCTTTGATCACTGCTGGGTTTGCTACTAGTCACTCCTTGAAATTACATGATTACCATGTCCTTTGGAAAGATGTTATTTCTGCTATACAGGTCTCATATCAGGATTACATTTTGGAAGTCCAAACACCCTTTTGTTATCCTAACACAATCAAGAATATAGACCTATTTCTACATTCCTCAAGCAAAGCTACGGATTCCAAAGTTTCTTGGAAGGTTTGAGAATACGAGGAAATTACAATAGAATTGGAGGAATGAAGGGTTAGTTTAAAACCAAGTGATAAATATGGTGGCTTTCTGATCCCATGAATATAGCTCAATGTTGGGGTTACTATGGATTCCCTGGATGGTACAAATGTTTAACACATACATCTGTTAACTCAAAGGTAGGAGGTTTGAGTTCACCCAGAGGCATCTCTGAGGAAAGACCAGGCAATACATGTCTAAAAAAAAAATCAAGCATTAAAAATGCTATGGAGCTCAGTTCTACTCCAGCACACATTGAGTCGCCATGAGTCAGAATCAACTCGACACTAACTGGTTTTGGGGGTTATTATAAAACAACATAATACAAAACCAATTTAATCTTTCAAATATAACGGAATAGGTTTGTTTCTTCATTCATCCATTTAAACGTTCAATGTTTAACATTTGCTTAGTACAGTGTGACATCACTGCGGAATAAAAGCGAACATGTCCCCTGCCCAATAATGCTACAGGATCTAGTAGAGGAGGCAGATATCACTCAACTAATCATAAAAATATTTTTTAATTTCAAAATGAGTTATTAGTGACGTTCAGACAGAATTAAGATGTCAAAGAAGAGGGATTAAGGCCTTTAATGTGCAGCCAAGTCCAACAATGCAGTGGCATGAGCCACTAGTCCCAAAGTAACTGTAGAATCCTGCAGGGAGTGAGAATTGCATCAGGCTCTAAGGAGAACAGAGGTGCGTGCGAGACAAGACAATGCCAGTTTGGAAGAGATTAAAAACAGTAAGAGACAAACTATCAATCGTTGTTCCCTCTGTGAGGTTTATCAGACTCTAGTACAAATATCACCTCTGTCTCACTGGTCTGTCAATATGTCATGGTGTGCCTGTGTTGGCTTAGACACAAAGTATAACTAATGTTTGCTCTGGTCTACTCACTGGGATGAATGAATTTATATTCTATAATTCATCACTCTTAGAGTCTAACGCAACACTATAACCATTCTAAGTGATGGCATAAGAGTGATTGACTTACTGAGCAAACAAAATGTATACAATTTTGACTGTTTTCCTTGCCTAAATGGCTTCCTGTTCTCTGAGAATCCCCCTCTTCCCTAAAGGTAGAATGTAACATCCATCATTGTACTAGTGGCCCTAACCCTATCAGCACAGATTGGAGAGGTCACATGACTGAGTTTGAGCCAATCAGGTGACTTTCCAGGGAATTTGGAATCAGAATCTGATAATTCTAGCAAGTCTTAGCTGATCACTTAATCTTGTTATTATTGTTGTTAGGTGCCATCAAGTCGGTTCTGACTCATAGTGAACCTATGTCCAACAGAACGAAACACTGTCCGGACCTGCACCATCCTCACAAACATTGTTATGTTTGAGCCCACTGTGGCAACCACTGTGTCAATCCATCTTGTCGAGGGGCTTCCTCTTTTTTGTTGACCCTCTACTTTACCAAGCATGATGTCCTTCTCCAGATACTGGTCCCTCCTGATAACATGTCCAAAGTATACGAGTTGAAATCTTGCCATCCTTGCTTCCCAGGAGCACTCTGGCTGTATTTCTTTCAAGACAGATTTGTTCATTCTTCTGGCAGTCTGTCTCAGTCATCTAGTGTTGCTACATGGCTTTAACAAAAAGAAATTTATTCTCTCACAGTCTAGGACTAAAAGTCCATATTCAGGGTGTCAGCTCTAGGGGAAGGCTTTCTCTGTGTGTTCTCTCTGGGGGGAGGTCCTTATTATCAATCTCCCCCAGTAGCGGGTCTTTTCAGTGCAAGGATCCTGAGTCCAAAGGATGCTCTATTCTCTTGACTCTTGTTTTTTGGTGGTATGAGATCTCTCAGAAATCAAAATCTGTTTGCATTTCAAGCTATGGCAGCTTAACAGAAGAGGAAGAATCTGGCTTTTGGAGCCTAGTGATCTTGAGTTCAAACGTCAGTTCTATTATTTGCTGGCTAAACAACATTAGACAATGTCTTGGACTTTATCACAAAAGCTCTTCAAGACCAGCTCTGAGTGGTAGACACAGATGCAAAGTTGCTGTAACATTATTATGTTCTAGATAAATGGTGCTCATAAAGCCCCAAAACCCAAAGCTGATTCTACCCTCAAGTCACAGTTCATTGAACAATATGGAAAGAACATCAGACATTGTAGTTAGATTTACATGGATTTCAGTCTTGAATCTGCCTCTTACAGCAGAGTTATCTTAAAAAGTTTTGGTCTAAGACAAGAAACTGCAACTACATAGTTGTGATAAAAATTGAAAGCTCTAAATGATAATTATCAAAGAGCCCCCAAAACTAAACCTGTTGCCTTCGACTCCATTCCAACTCATAGCGACCCCATAGGACAGAGCAGAATTGTCCCATAGGGTTTCCAAGGAGTGGCTGGTGGATTCCAACTGCCAACCTTTTGGTTAGCAGCTGAGTTCTTAACCACTGAGCCACCAGGGCTCCTATCAAAGAGCAGAGATATAGAAATATAATTTCCCTTCCCCTAAGGCTAGTAAAAGAAATATCTAGAGAAAAACCAATATAATAAAATAACTCAAATGTCAAAAGCTGTCTTTGATGAATCTATAAATTTGCCCATATCTTGCAGTGATGGAGTGGGTTACAGACAGATGGCATTAAACTTGGCCACAAGCTTTAGAAACTCTCAACCAAACCATAAAGGACAGACACAACAATTAGGGTAAAGACATAAAATTCTGTGAAACAGGGCATTGCCTCAATATAAGTATAACCAGATATACAGTATTGCCTCAATATAATTATAACCAGATTATGCTTGCATAGAAGTCGAGATCATAGCAGTAAGTTAAAGTCGTAAAACTGGCAAGGAAAACGGGCTTTCAGTATAATTTGTTCAAAATATCTTGTGTTGTAGTCACTAGAGTGGATGAAGAGAGTACTATGAATGTGTATACACTTAGTTCAGTAGGAGAAATGGACACATGAATAATAATAATGATGGCAGGAATGTACTGTGTGTTTGCTATCTGTCAAGCACTATTTTATATACCTTTAATCCTCATAATAACCTTGTAAGGAAGGCAATCAAAGGCCATCACTGCCAAGATATATACCTCCCCATGGAGAAGGGCAATGAAAAAGTAACACTGCAGCAAACCCCCCACATAAGAAATGGTTTTTATCTCTGAGAGTAAGTTTTCCAACATTTTGGGAGTGACGTTGGAAGAAAACCACACCTCCACAAAAGACAAATGACTTAGGAAAAAGTACATAGGACTCTGAAGCTGGGGACTGATGCTGATCAAGATGATCATACCAACGTTCCCTATCGCAGTGATCATGTAAACTACTAGGAACACCACAAAAAAGAGAACCTGTAGCTCTTGGCGACTGGTCAACTCCAGAAGAATAAATTCTTTCACATCCGTGAAATTTGGCATTGCCTTTATAGGGAACCAATCTGTATGGCCTATGGAGAAAGACAAAACATGAATAGATTTGGTTTATTCCTGAAACATTTGTTTATCCTTATTCTAATTCAAATAATTCAAATAATTTAGAAAGCAATGTAGTTTTTGCACAATGTCCAAGATGGTATTATATAGGCATCATTGTTCCCTTCAATAGGTCTTATACACAATTACCATAATCATTTTCCAGCTTCTTATCTGTAAAAGAGGTGTATTATACTCTTTACTAATATTAGAATTAGGCATTTGTATATTTACTAAATTATTACAATAGGTCTACCTTAAAATCAGAGGGCACAGATATGACAAAAGTCAGACTGAGAGTTTCAAGAGAAGGACTAAATCCATTCCAACATATTAATTTGTAGAAAAGAAACTTGAGGTCCATAAATGTTAAAGAATACACTCAAGGTCAGACAGCCAGTTAGTGCCAAACTGGGAAGGAGACAAGGGACGTACTTTGATACTTCATTGAATACTGTCTTCACATATCGTAGTTGCCTCTCAATGTCAATAAAAATACAAATATGCATGTGACATTAACTTACCCATTTTTACACATCTCGGAGGGTTCCATGTATAATTTTATGGGAAAATGGACTCATTCATTGGTGTTACAGTCTTGTTGTCAAATAAATCTAGTTGACATATTTGTCCAACATTATGCCAGCATATGATTTCATATGTTTTTAAAATATAATATTCCTAGGAAAATTTTACTTTTTAAGCTAAACACTAGGCTAGCTTCATTGCTACTGCCTGCAAGGCTGAGGTAAGAAGGAATTGATAGCACAGACTATATCTGTTTCCTGGTTATCATAGAAAAGTAAACTAAAAGTGGATCAATCATTTAGCACCCACTATCAAAACTGTGTCCATGGATAAATATCAAGAGGTAAAATTTAGGTGATGTGTTACGTTAACTACAG